CGAAATCATTTTCGACAAAATTTTTCACTGCATCATGAACAGCTAGAAGAAACTCGGATTTTTTAAATCCCATTTTAGCATTACCATCACAATATAGACCACTGGAAACCACAGTGTAAATAATATGACTGCATTGTTGCTCAATTGCGACCTTAAGACAATTTCCGTACGCCTTTGTCAATACTTCAGTGACTTCAGACAAATTTTTACATTGATGTAAATTCCCAACCAATTTAGCTTGTGGGCCGATAACATGAAGAATAATACCTCCTTCAAATTGCGAATAAGCCGCAAGACCTAGGTTTTTGGTGTCTTTTATCTGTCCTTCAGTATATTCAGTTTTTCCATACCATCTTTCATTGCCATCTGACGCATCTATACCCTTTTTATCCAATACCCACGATGTAATACCTTTATTTAACCCACCATATCCGGGAGATAATTCCGTATTTGCTGCATTTACAACAGCTAATTTGGTTACATTTTCTCCAGAAAGTCCCATATCTTCATAAGTAACACCGGAATCAAATTTGAATTTCAAAATTTTTATATTTTGTTTTTCTTGTAGGTATTCGATAAAAATTTCTTCCATTTTACTACAAACCTTCGCATCATCGTACTTAGTACCATTTCCATCATCATTCGACTGCTTTGTAGTACTAGCTTCTGTGCCAAAAAAACTCATCAAAATATATCCTATCAATATGACACCACCTCCAATCAGAAGAGCAAAAAGAAAAGTTTTAATAATCTTGAATTTATTTTTACTCGCCGAAATTTTTTCTTCCGTATGTTTTGTCATCCCATAACAGATTTTTTTTACATTTATGAATTTACCTAATTAGAAAAGCATCAAAAAAACATATTTAAATGGTTGATATGCCGAAAAGGAGCTTCAAAAAGTAAATTAATTGGTAAATTTTTATAGAACAACTTCATATTCATTTAAATACAATATAGAGACATATCTAATACCACAATCAGCAATAATTTATTCCATTTATAATGTAAATATAAATATTCAGAAGATTTCAAATTTAATTTATCATCGAACTTTTATGTTATATGAACGAAAAATGTAGTTTAGCACTCAATTGCATAACCACAATGTCTTTTTCTTAAATTAAATTCTTTTTCTGAATATTTTTTTTAAAAAAATGATTCAATATTCATAATATTGAAATTTAATTTGAAAATTTTTCTATATTTGATTTATTAGAAAATAAAACAGAAAAAAATTTTTATTTAATAAAATTCTGGGTTAAATATTTTTTACCATTTTTATATGTTTTCTTCTACCTCTTTAACCACTATTGTCTCTTCTTCCAAATCCGACTCTCATTTATGTTATTGGTCGGTTCCTCTAAGTGGTTCCTCTTGTGAAATAAGGGGTGTATTATTTTTTGGTTTTAAATTTTAACACCATCTTCCCTTGCTTCTTTTAAAGGGGGTTTGGTTTCTGTCTCTGATCTCTAATAACACCCATTGACGCCCCCGCCCTCGGCATTTGGTCCGACTAGTCCCTTCGTCGATCAAGGAAATAGTTTCGACTGTTTTTTAGTACTATAGACTGAATGTATGCTTCTACATTCTGGGTATTTTAGTCTTTTAGATGAGATTTATGGTATTTTGTCATACCGTCCCAGGTCATCCTAGGGATTATTCACACTACACTTTAAATAAGGCCCAACTCATTGGCTAGCAGGTCTACTCTTGTTTTTGTTTCACTATTTGAAGTGAATCTTGGGAGTGATTCCTACTTCATGAGTGTTTCTTTTTTCTTCTTATCTAAAATAAATATGTCCGGTCTGTTTTCGAATTTTAACATCAGTTTTAATTCTGGTGTCCACCTTATCTCTGCATACTCTTTCGAATTTTTGACTGAGTGGCTCCTTATTCGTTTTGAAGACTTAAACTTTATCTATTTAGAAGGAGAAGGTGTAGGCATCTAACCACTTATTTGCGTCTAGTGTAATCATGGCCTAGCTTTTTTGCATCTAGTTGTAGATGATCCCAGTCTTCCAGACTTCCCGCATGTTGACACACCATCTGCTCCCCAGAATACATTTCTATCCTGGATATAGCAGAACACAGCTTCATTTCGTGGCCTAATATTTCTCTTAGCCATCTTGAGAGTCACTAACACTACAGCTCATTTTGACTTGCCTTATATAACTTTGAATGAGTTTTCGTTTTTTATTTCGTTTATAGTTTTGAGTTGAGCTTTTCTAAACTTTCTTAGTGACTTCTTCACCAACCTGTACTTTACTTTTAGAAGCCTTTTATTAGTGCAAGTGGGTTTTTTATTATTTCCACCTTGAGGATTGCTGCTCGTCTAGTTGTTTTTTTCTTTTTCCAGACAATCCAAGAGTTGCAGAAGCATATGTTCGCTTCGCAACTCACACTATGTAGACCTCTTCCAGTTCTGTTCTAGGAAGATACACCGCTCTTTACATCCTGGGCGGAGATGTATCTTTTTTTACCAACACCGCACGCACTGCCTCATCTAACTTAGAGAAGTCAGCCGGTTCAGTCGAAGTACTCCTTGTGGTAGTTGATTACGATATCGCATGTTGATTGATTGCAGAAAATAATTTTTGCATTTAATCTACTGTGAGTCTTTCACTCTTGATATAAGTTTGTCTGTCTTTTCAATGAGCTACGTGTTGGGATTCCTCTGCTATCTTCTATTATTCCTAAATATTTGTAAACACTAACACCTTCTAGAGAGTGCAGTATCTTCAACACGTATCATTTGTGGCTGACTTCTCTTTGTTAATCTCTAAGCCAATCACCTCTAAAATTCCTTTGCCTGCCTGTCATAGCACTCAATGTGGAGCTGTCTTTTGCAGGAGCTTAAGATCATCAATAAACAAGAGATGATTAGTAGAATGGGATTCTGCATCTGTTTGTCTGTTTTTGTGTTTTTTCATTAGCTTTCGGCTTAATGGATCCATCACACAATAACAAGGTGACAGACTATCTCCTTGTGATCCCTCTCATCTCTTGCTCTGTTTTTTCAGGCCCTACTGTTATCATTTTCCATTTTGATATAATTACCTTAATAAATTTGGATCCATCGGTATTGGTTTTATGATTGGTTAATAAGTGTCTATTGATCATAGCTTTTTAACATCTCCTGTTGCCTTAGTTATTTCCATACCTTTTTTAAGGCTATTGTGGCCTGTCTTTCGCCCCTGCCCTCTTCCGCCCCTAGTTGGTTTCGCAGCACCTCGCCTTTCCCCATTTGACGACTTTCGTCCACACTTTGTCGTTAACTTTAGAGGTTGGACATACAGTGATTGGCCTGTGTCGGCCTCTTCGTGGATTCCTTTCGGTATCATACGTGCCCGCGTAAACCAATCGTTGGGTGTTCCTTCTAACATTACTTTACATATCATAAGTTTTGTGAAGAGTTGTGTTTCTTAATGAAAAAATTGTAAATACCATCAATCGCGCTTTCCATTAGGGAGCCAATTATGTATTCCAATTCTCAGTGAGGAACGTGGTCGGATGATTATCTGATACAAATGGAATCAAATAATCATCGTCGTGACTGTCTCTTTTTGTTCCACATTGTGGCCAAAACTCACTTTCCGGCTAACCACTGCTCGGTTCCCACGCTCGGTACCCGTAAATCGACCTCGGAAAGCTCAACTCGTCTTTGGATTGCTTCCCCTGCTCGTTTTTTTTCGTAACATTAGCTCTTTCTTACTAAAGCCTCGAAGATCGTTCGCTGCTCGTTTATTAACTCTGCTGTTTTTTAGGCTCTTCGTTTCCGAGTGGGGCTTTTCCTGCTTCGGCTTTTCGGGGATCTTTGGAAGTACTAACTTGATTTTACTTTCTGTGTTCCTTCCAGCGGATCTGGCTTCTCTTTCGTGTTGTCGTCTGCATCCTGCGCGCTTGCTGTATAGCGGCTTCCGTATTGACTCGGTACTGGCTCCTGCATATTCCCGACTACTCGATTTATGGATCCGAACTTTACTATCACCAATTATTTGGATGTTTTCTGTTCGCCCCACTTTTCATTTCGTTCTCGGATTTCTTTGTTTTACTCAGAATTTATTCTCGGTTTATGTACTCCGTGGTGTCGGTCAGGTGTGTTGCGAGACAGTGGCGATTCTCGTCGCTTCCATTTCTTCTGGTTTTCATCCTTTCCATCTCACTTTGTGCCAATTTTTTAACACTTCGGTTTCGTGCGCCGAATTTTATTATAGTACCTGTGGCTCTGTCCGCCATTTTTGGCATTCTTCAACCTTGTCTGTACTGCAAACAATTCGAGGCCATCCTTCGGGTCGGCTGTTCGGAATCGAATATCGTCCGCTGCCATTGCCTGTTACCTTCCGGATGCTGGTCGGGGCTTGTCTGTCGTCGATGGCTCGCACGCGACTTCACCGAAGGGGAACTGGTGCATTGGGGGTGGTGTCGCCACTTTTTGCTTTTACGCTGTTTGGCTTGGTGGTGGGGTGTTTTGTTGTGTGGGGGTCGCCGTGGGTGCCTTTTGTTCCCTTCCCTTTTTCCCTCTCGTCGTTTGCGCCTTTTTTTGGTTTTTCTTTTCGCTTTTCTTCTCCCATTTTAAAAAAACAGAAAAAAATAAAAAATAAAAAATAAAAAATAAAAAATAAAAAATAAAAAATAAAAAATGAAAATAAAACAGAAAAAAAGTAAAATTTTGAAAATAAAAAATGAAAATTATGAAAATAAAAAATGAAAATTATAGAAATAAAAATAAAACTGAAAATAAAATATGAAAATTATAGAAATAAAAATAAAACTGAAAATAATAAAAGAAAATACAAATATAGAAACTCAGTCTTTAATTCATCATAGATCATTATAAGACTATCAACATTACATCCGAGCTCTAACATCATGTAAATCTTAGAAATAATTTCTTCATTAATTTCAATGTTTAGCTTTTCAGAATAATCAAGAAACATTTTCATTTGTTCTTTGGATGGCATTTACAAAAAAAGGGTGCTTTTTTGATTAAAAAATTAAGGGTCCACGCGGATTCGAACCACGGACCATTCGATCTGCAATCGAAAGCTCTAACCACTGAGCTATGAACCCTAAACTGGAGTTTGTTAGGTCATATTAACAACTTTTAAATACATAAAATTTTAGGCAAAAAACAATTCTCGGGTAATTATCCCAAATGTATTGATAGTTTCATTGTTGAATTAACAAAAATTATAAAATATTTACATTTGTAAAAAAAGCTAAAATTCAAAATTATATTTTGCTGATTTTAAGATTTAAAGTTTCAAAAATATGGTAAAAGAATTTAAGAAATCCGCAGCACAAAAAAATCGACGTTAAAAAAGACTGCATTGTCTTAAAGGAAAACCAAATTTAAGATTCCATTGCATCAAAGTAACATATTATAATACTAATAACCAATTCAAAAAGATATAATTTGTTAAATATAAAAATTATTAAATGAAAATTTTTAAATAAATGATTTTTATATAAAAAACTACAAAAAAAAATTTGGTAAGAAATAAGAAAAATAAAAAAATAGAAACTTAAAGCGCTATTACTGCTATAAATAAATATATCCCAAGACAAATTGAATAAAAAATAAATTTTTTGTATTTTTTAAAAAGGAGATATTTTATACAAAGAAAATATTTTTAATAACCCATTTTTTACTTAATAAAATTCTGGGTTAACAAATTTTCTCTCGTTTAACTAATTTTTTCCATCACTTTAACCACTTTATTCTCTTTTTCTTAATAACCCATAATTACAATTACAATGAATGATAAAAGTTTAAAAGAAATTTACAATTTTCTAAAAAAGAAAAAAAAAGTTTTGAATAGAGAAGATATTCGTAAATTTTTAATATTTTTATTTCCATATAAAGAAAGAGAAATAATATATGAAACGATAAAGAAAGAAACGAAGGACACATATACATATGAAGATTTTAAAGAATTTTGGATAAAAAAAATAGAAAAACCCGAAGAAGATGTAATAAACAAAATATTTTATATATTAGATAGAGATTCTGATGGTTATATTTCATATGAAGATTTAAGAATAAATTTTCTTTATTTGGGATTTTCAGTTGATAAAACAATTCTTACCAAATTGTTTTCTATTTTTCCAACAGAAAAAAAATCGATAAATTTAAGTGAATTCAGAAATATTATAATGAAATAATAGTTAATTAATAGAAGAAATCTTTATATTTAAAAAAAAATTAGAAAAAAACTGAATTTAAAAAATAAATTGAATTTAATTCATCACAAATAAAAAAGTCACGTTACATATTTCACCATTAAAAAATATATTTTGGAAATAAAAAACAGAAATTTTTTATAGATTTGAAAATGGATTTTCTAGATTTAATAGTTTTTGAAAGCGAAAAAGTAGTAATAGAGGTGACTTATTGCTAAAAAAAGACTAATTATACTTAACCTAATGTTTATAAACATTTAAGTATTTATTTTCTATGTTCTTTTCTATATTCTTTCCATCGAATATTCTTTAAATGATATTAATTCTTAAAAAAGAAATAAATTAATGAATTATAAAATAAAGAGTTTTTCTTATATTTTGACAAATATTTTACCTTAAAACGATCTTTAATTTTATTTATTAAAACATTCCTATTTATCGAGAATTGAATTTAATTAAAAACTATTTACTTTAAATTTTTCTTCTTTATGAATTAATTATAGATTGAAACACAAAACTTATAATTTAAAAGATAAGTTAATTTTTCATCTGAAAATATCTGATTTTTATTAATATAAAATTCTTATTTGTCATATCTTATGATTTAAAAGATATGTTAATGTTGAATAGATAATATCTATTTTTATTAATAAAAATTCTTATTTGCCACATTCAGTTGCAGAGAAAAAAATGTAAAAAAAATTCAGTATCTGATTTAAATGAAAAAAGAATAATTATTTAAGAATTAACTGAAAATAAGGTTAGAAAATATATTGCAATGAGGGGAAATAAAGAAAAAGGTCGATGAAAAGTTGGAATGAGATTTTTTTTATTGAGGTACAAGATAAGAGATTGGAAAAGGAATAGTGGCTTTAAAATAATAGTTTAATATATATTTATATTATGATCGATTAGCTTGAACTAAAGAGTAAACTCTTAATTAGAAGAAAAGTAATTCTGAATATATAAATCATGTTAAACGCACGTTGCCTTGCTTAACACTTTAATTAAATTAATATATAACATATACTTACACATAACAGCAGAAAAGCTAACAATTCGTATATTGCTTATGAATCAATCAGATAGAAAATAAAAATATAGTAATAAAGCTATTTATAATATTTTACGATATATAAAGGTTTCGTTCGAAATAATTAAGAATTAAAATATTACATTACGATGCAAATAATTTTTTTAGTATTATTACATAAATATATTTGATGTGTAAGTCTTGATAGTAAAAGCCTGAAAAAGACTCGGAAGTCTGGCGACTAACATAAGCATATATTTAGATACAATCAAGATAAGATTTATAGAAGAATTACCTGGTATCATTTAAATAAAAATATTTTAAATCTTTACACGAAATGTGAGCTATTTTGTTAATTTATTTTCAAATAATTTGTTCAGATAAGAAAAACTAGAATAAGAAAATAGCACCTATATTCAAATTAGGTAGATATTCACTAAAATTTAACGAAAATGTTTATCAAATTTGAGATTTTGTAATGTTTTCGCTTCTCTCAACAGCTTTTGAACAGTTTGATGAGACAATAAAGAAATCAACTTGAATTCAAATAACCTTTGTGTTTTTTTACTTTGCATTAGAATTATTCATATACCAAGAACTGAATTTTTGATCATATAAAAGCATTATAATAATATACAAAAAAAATACAGAAGCTATAATAGAAAAAGGCAGTAAAATAAGGTTAAGCGCAACGATAGTCTAAATAATTTTATTAGCCCTGAGTAACGTTATGAAGACAACAATTGCTTGCAATAAGAGGTAGAAAAAAACCATAGCAATTTTATCCAACGAGAAATAAAAAAGAACGATAAGTTTGTCAATACCCAGGCAAATAAATACTGCAAAAAGTGATAAGTAAAAAATCAAAGGCTAAAAAAGGCCCTTTTTGGTATAATCGCTAGCGAGAAACATCCTTCAAAGTATAGAAGGTAAGATAAAGTTATATGTGAGTAGAAAAACTATAGTAAAAAGTAAATTCTCAAAATTAAAAAAAATTTGATTGCTTAGTATTTGTAATTGATATAAGATATCCACAGCAAAAGCTTGATAAATGATAAATATTAGGTGAATTTGATACTAAAAATTAATTTCGATGCTTTTTAGGATGAAGATTACTATGTTTTTGATCTTCCAATGAAATAAGTATATGAAGAGATAACGTAGGCCATGGTGAAATCTTTACTTCAAACTAGTGTATAGTTTTTGTTATAACTTGATTAAAACGCCTGCTAACATGTAGAGAATCTTCATTGCACAATAGAAAGCTAGTACGGCTCGCTCGAAACAGAAGACCAATGCCTGTTCTATACGATAATAAGCAATTTTTAGAAAGCCGGGACGCTAAGTAGCAGTTAAATTCCTTGAAATGATCAAAAGTTTCTAAATGCACCTCTTTAAGTTCTGAGATTTATATAAGCCGTAAGTCTATTTCATTCGAAAAATTTAGAAAGATTTGGAAGGTGCTAGTCTTTGTGTGCCTAAAAGTATGTTCATTCAGTAAAACTCCATAAAAAAACGGATATAACATATTGAGCAACAGCTTTACTAATATAATGTTTTTTACACACCTGTGGTTGTAAGTTTTGAATGCAGGATCGGTTGTATTATCATAAGATTTTCTAAGCCGTTATCCATCTTGAATCCCAAATTGCATTAATATCGTTGATACAATACAACTGCCAAAAAAACATGATATATATTTACTCAAAATGATTTTACTTTTTACTATTTAATGGATTTTACATGAACATTTCAATAATAAATTTAATATTTTCTTATCGAGAGGAATAGAATTCGTCTTAGACTTACATATTTAGGCGCCTAGTATAAGCTAACTATATAACCAGCAAAAATATAGAGTAAATTCATAATTTTTAGAAATATACTTCGAAAGACTTTTTATCGGTTGATATTGAAAGAATTTTCAGGATTTTTAGAATATTATTTAAGAATCGGAAAGAAAGACAAACAAATTTCAATTTTTCGAAAATTTTACAAAAATTAATTATTCCAGTATATTTAATAAAAAAACTTTAAAATAACCCAAATTGTAAGTCTAATTAAAAAAGATAAGATTCGTGTAATTACAACATTAGAACATTATTACCGATTCTAGGCTTACGGCCTTTAAGATATGATAATATCTTTGTGAAGTCTATATATGATTAAGACAAAATAAAAAATCATCTTTGACAAGAATCATCATCCATGTGTTCCAATAACAAATTTTCTAAGTTCTACGCAATATAAAATAAAAAAAATTAATAAAACGTATCAAAATTCTAATATTTTCTGCAAAAAATAGATATTTAAAATAATTTTTGTCTACTTACAGCAGTTTATATATACCATATATAATTTTTAAAACAATTCAAGCCAAAAGATTGGTATGCAAACAAAATTTAGACTATTAATATTTATCTCACTAAACAAATCAATTCAGAAATTTTGGACCAAAAATAAAATCAAAAAAAGTATTTTTTTGAAGAAGAAATTCTTATGTAGGTATTTAGAAATAAATGAAAATCTTAAAATACGTGTTTCCTTAGAGTATTACTCGAAACATAAAACTATAAAATCATTATATATATTTTAGCACAGTTTTTTATATTTATATGTATATGGAATGTAAATTATTGTATATTCCATCATTAGAGATAACATGTTTAGATTTATAACAGAATACTTTAAATTGTTAATTCTAAAGGCTAATTAAAACTTAAATAGTATATTAATCGTGCCGGAAAAACAAATTAGTTTTAGATTTATAGAAGATAAAATATTCTTAGATAAACATCACAAACTATGAAATATAATTTTTAAGAAAAAATGAAAGCTTTCGATTGTACCAAGA